ATTGTTTATGTGAGTCCTCAAAGAAAAGAAAATGTGATAGTTACAAATTATTTGATTTCTAAATTCTAGGTAAGTACTACAAATTAACCAAACCGGCCGTCTAACTTGAAAATGATATTCTTAAGAACAAGGATGGAATTGGGAATTTTTGTTTGGTGGGCGGAAATAAAGTAAAGAAATATGTATGCAACCAATGATCTGTTGGTCTGAGTGAAAGGAACTCGATTATTTTTAAATAAGATTTCGAGTTCAAGTTCGAATCTTATGAATGAAAAAACAGGTATTAGAAGAGTTTCACCCTAATGAGGTTTGACTCACCTCGATTCTGGATTAATTAAAATCCAATATGATTACCAGATACTGAGAGTTGAATTAATTATGAACTAGATAAAAAAAAAAAAGAAGAAGCAAAATGCATGACATTGAGAAGTGAATTAACTAAAAGCTTATTAAATTGTGTAGTTTATATGCAAAATAAATGGGCAGGGTGTCAATAAATAAATTCAAATGGGATAAGTTGAAAATTTCCCAAAATTGAGCAAATCAAGCCCCAAGCCTTTTTTTTTTTTCTTAGTTAAATACTCTCTTTGGTTCCTCTACTTTTTGATCCTTGTACTAAAAAAATCCCTTTTTTAATCTTTAAAGATTAAAACCCGACCTCTTTTTTTATCTATTTGTTAAATGTTTTGATAAATGATAGTTAACTAATGAAATTATGTGACATGGAAAATCCACTCTGTAAAAAAAAAAATATAACATGGACATATTTTTGAGTCCATGTCAACATCTTCACCCTTTTGGGTTTTTTTTTTTTTTTTAACCTTGCTGGGTTTGTCGTGAACTCGCACGCGTCTTGGGTTCATGACGAGCACACGTTGGGTTTGCAACTAGTGCACCCTTGAACCCAGGTGCGAGCTGGGTTCACGACGAACCCATCTCACACAACCCAAGACAAACCTAAGCGTGCGTTGGGTTCTTTGCAAATCCAGTATGCGCCTGGGTGGGTTCGCAACGAACCCAGCAAGATTAAAAAAGAAAAAAAAAAGCCAGAAAAGTGAAGATATTAATGTGGACTCAAAAATATGTTCATGACATCTTTTTCAAAGTGGATTTTCCATGTCACAAAATTCCATTAAGTAATTGTCATTTGTCAAAAAATTTAACTAATAAACTAAAAAGGGGTCGGATTTTAATCTTTAAGGACTAAAAGGAGATTTTTTTAGTACAAGATCAAAAAGAGACTTTTTTCAATAGTAGAGGAACAAAAATGATATTTAACACTTTTTTTTTTAACTCTGCGCGTGTTTTTTTTTCTTGCATATCCCAACTGGTAATAGAATTAATTTATTTTTTATATTTTTTTAAATTTATCTCAACATTTAAATTTAAATTTAAATTTTATAAAAAGAGATTCAAATTTTTACAATTGAGATATCTAGTAAGACTCTATAAGTTATCTATAGAAAGTAATAGCTATATATTGCTAGAAAAATTTAATTTCCCAAGTCATATTTAGAATGGAATATACCTATGATAAAAAATAGATTGGAATAAATTGCAATAAAACGATTGTGCATATGCCCTTAACTTTCTTGAACGTCAGTATATATCTACTACTCTTATATTCCTATCTATCACCATTTCAATAGATATAAATAATTAAATATACCAAAATGTTATACTTAGAATTTTACGTAATATTATAAATTTATAATATGATATATTATTAACTATATAATTAACTCATTCATTTATAGATTTACTTATAATATTATATACATTTACTCGTTTAATATCACATTATACTTTATTTAATGTTATGTAAGATTATAAATTTAAAATTATATGTAGTTTGTAACTATAACATTGTTGATAAATATACACATATATATATATATATATATATATATTTATAGACACTCTTTACCTACCAATGAAATTTAGATCATTTTTTTAATGAATAAAAAAAATAATTGATACACATTTTAATTCAATATCCCTTTTAATATTTGTTAAGTTTAATTATTAAAATATATTATATAAATATGATCAATTTAATTAGTTTTTAAACATAATTATATTTTCAAATTTATTTATCTTCAATTTTATAAAAAATAATTATTTTTTAATATATAAATTATATAATATTTTGAATCGAAAAATGTGTGAATTAGTGTGCTAATAAAATAAATAGATGTGTAGTAGTTGAGAAGCTTCTTTGAAACTTGAAAATTTCAATTTTCTGCCTTTTTTTTTTTTTTTTTTTTTAATGGAGCAGGCTTGTGTGCATGCATGGTTCATGATGTGGGCATGGCAGCATATCATGATGATAACATAATTGAAATCGATGCCATCCAGCATCTGCATCAGCCATCAGGCTGCATGATTCGTGATTAAGTTAAAATAAATTTGGGTATAAAACGACAGACATGCTCATTCTTAAACGACATCAGATCCGCATTAATAGGTTCACGTATTCTCATAAAAACTTAATTTATTAATTAAAATATATTTATAAAAAGAAATAGGGTAGAGAAATACTGTTAGGGGTTGACTTATACAATCTTTACCGGCCAACCCCCTTATCTTTTAGTTATTTTAATATTTTGATCCTCTGCCTTTCATTTGTTTGTCCTTCGGTATCCTCATCTTCTATCAATTACTAAATATACTAAGAAATTATTAGTCGAATAGACAATGTTAGTCCAAAGATTTTTTTCTCTTAAGTAATTAAGGATGGTAATATTGTATAGCCTGTATTATGAGAATTAATTTTTTAGTTTTTCTATTTTGTGTCCATAGAGCACAGAATTAAAACTAATGATTGATTAACATCATCAAACACAGTTAACTTTACAATTAAATTTAATATATTTTTTAATTAAATTCTCTTTTCTAATTAGAAAAACAATATAGAGTGAATGAATAAAATAAGCCAAAATACAGGAAAAATAATGTGGTAGGTGCATTAGATTTTAACAGTAAAATTAATGGTGTTTGATGATGTGGTTTTAACGCGGTTAGCATAAGGACAAAAATGAGCCTAAAACATGCATGGAGTAAAAGGACGTTAA